TATTGGGGCTCACCCTGCTGACCTCACTTGAATGGGGTGGCATCTGGGAAGACCCTACCTCCAAATGAGGTCATGTTCTGAGGTATTGGGGGTTAGGGTTTCAGCGTGAATGTGGGGGGTGGGAAGGGACACAGGTCAACCCATAACATAAAAACAGCAATAAAAATAAATGTCCAAAAAAAAAAAAGGTCAATTATGAGCTTCCCAGTGGGCACTCTGCAGTGTGCTGGCCATGTGCACAGCGCTGTCTTATCTTGGAGGCCTCAGGAACCCCTGCTGGGGACCCCTTCCCAGGGAGGTGGCATGTGACCAGGGGATGAAGTGAGCTCTTTGAATGTTGGCATCAGCGCAGTGGGCGGGAGGGGGCCAAAGACCCTCCTTGGGCCCCTAAACCTGGGTGTGGAAGGACCAGTGTCCTGACATTATGCCTCCATGTGGTGGGTGAGGCACAGGGATGCTCATCTCTGTGCGGTTTTGCCCCTGCCCCCCACTCAGGGATTATTTGGTAACGTCTGGAAACCATTTTCTTTGTGACAACTTAGGGAGGGGGGTGTTTACTGGCCGAGAGCCCCTTGCAGGATGGGAGCTGCATTTCTGTGACCCGCAATGGGAGCTGCATTTCTGTGACCCGCAATGAGTGTGCGAACATGCCAGAGTCGGGGTGGGTGGGGTGGGGGGTGCTTCTGTGCTCGGGCCTGGCCAGCCCTGCAGAGGGTAGTCAGATTTGGCTGCAGCTGAATCCTACTCGAATTGCTCTTGGTTTTCCTAGCCACCTTCACGGACCTTGTCTTGCTAACTGTCCAGGTCTCCGTTACCTCACACCTCAATAAATGGGCCAAGCCAGGCTTGAACGGCTTGGGGAGAGACCCGCTGCCCCAAGACAAGAACGTGCCTGTTCACACAACTCAAAGACCAATTCACATAGACAAACGCAGTCCACTGGAAGCAGTTTGATTGAGCAGTGAAAACTCACAAAGGCTCTGCAGAAGTAGCATCCTCACCCTCGGCCACTTAGAATGACAGCTGATTTACCAAGTAAACGCAGGGCCTGCTGTGTCATCCTACTCTGTAACTGGCTGGCAGAACCCAGGCCCCTCTTGAGGAATCAGAGGGCATATCATCTGTTCACTATTTGAGTGCCTTGGATCCATGAGCAACACCGGGGGCGTTCCTTGCCATTCTTAGGCTCAGAAACATTAAGTCCTTGCCAAGGTCACACAGTCATGGGTTCAACCAGAGCATGGTTCAAGGCATGAACCCTTGAACAGCCCTCTGGCCTGAGCTTTTGGCCACCGCGGTATTAGATCACCTCCAGCTGGGTTGCATGATCTAGTGATGGGTCCGATGTGCTCGGGCCTGGAGTGCACCTGTTCTGTGTGGAGAGCCAGCGATGGTTAGGGGACGAGGGTGGTTGTGGATGTGCGTGGCTGTGCGAAGTGGGGGTGAGCACGGAGACACTGGTCTCCTGGTCTTGGGCACTGGCAAGAGGGCTGGGGTCACCCTGTTCTCATGCTCCACACTGATGGGTGGCAGTGTCTCTGTGGCTCCCGGAAGCTGCTGCTCTGGGTGGAAGCTCACTGATGTTCCCCCCTACCCCTGCCCCCTTCCAGTTCCCAGACATCGTGGAGTTCAGCGAGACTATGGCCAACGCTGGGAAGACCGTGATTGTGGCCGCACTGGATGGGACCTTCCAGAGGAAGGTGAGGCATCTGATACAGGCTTTGGAGGGGATCTGGAGGGAGGGAAGGGCCTGAGAAGAACAGGGGCAGCCCTGCGAGCCTCTTCTCTCAATGCAGTGCTACCTGGATGACCCGGGCTTGACACCTGGGGGCACTTTGAGCCGGGCCGTGTCCTAGCCCGGGCACTCAGATGAGCCAGACCCAGCTCCCTGGCTTGCCTGGGAGTCCATCCAAGGATTCCAGGGAAAAACCCACCTGGCCAGGTAGATGTGCTCACCTGCTGTCTTTCCCTGGGAGTGTAGGCATTCGGGAGCATCCTGAACCTGGTGCCCCTGGCGGAGAGCGTGGTGAAGCTGACAGCCGTGTGCATGGAGTGCTTCCGGGAGGCCGCCTACACCAAGCGGCTAGGCTCGGAGAAAGAGGTAGCCCCCACCTGCCTGCTCCGGGGCGGGGGGGTGGGGGGAGGCCCGGAGGCGCTGTGCCCCCTCTCAGCCCAGGCCCTTTGCGTCCGTCCCGTGGCCAGGTCGAGGTGATTGGAGGAGCAGACAAATACCACTCCGTGTGCCGCCTCTGCTACTTCAAGAAGGCCTCGGGTCTGCCCGCCGCGCCGGACGGCAAGGAGAACAAGGAGAACTGCCCGGTGCCGGTGCCGGGAAAGCCAGGAGAGGCGGCGGGAGCGCGGAAGCTCTTTGCTCCGCATCAGATCCTGCAGTGCAGCCCGGCCATCTGAGGCTCCCCGTCCCGCGGCCGCCCCCTGCCGGCCGGCCGCCGCGCAGCCTTCCCCCAGGAGGACGTGGGGGGTGGGGCGAAGATGGGACTTTCTGCCTCCCGCGGTGCAGGTCCTGGGCTGGTGGTCTGCACATCCCGTTTCCCCCTTTCCTGGTTCCCTTCCCGGCTGCTGGTCCACTCGTGAGCTCAGGGTCTGGCTGCCGCAGCCACCCCCCCTCCTGTGGGGTGAGGGGCAGAACCACACACTGGCGACATCGGCGCCCATGGCTTCTTCCCCCTTGTGGCTTTCGCTGTTGAGTTTCTGTTCTCACTGGGAAGTCCGAGCGCCGGTACCTCCGGCTCAGACCGAGCCTCGGCCCACGCAGAGGTTTCTGTCTCTGCTTGGGACTGACTCCTGGCCCCCAAGGGTGGCTGGACTGATGGCCTCCTGCTTCCTACACTCCGGGTGATCATTTTCTCCAGAATTACAGCTTCTCTCACATGGGAGACACTTACCCTGCTGGGGCTCAGGTCCCAGGGACTTAATCTTTTAAAGTGTGTGTGTGGGGGGGGTGGTTAGGGGCACAGGTGGCTAGGGTTAGGGTCTATGATTCTGTTGTAGCGTGTGGATTAGTAACTAATATTAAAATTTACTGGTTGGTGAAAGCACATTTGTCTTTTTTTTCTGTAAGATTTTATTTTTGAGAGAGCACAAGCGGGAGGAGGGGCAGAGGGAGAGGGACAAGCAGATTCCCCGCTGAGCGGGGAGCCTGATCCCAGGGACACTGAGATATGACCTGAGCAGAAGTCAGACACTTAACTGAGCCACCCAGGTGCCCCGAAACCACATTTGTCTTTAACAGCCTGGGATGCCCTGGGTCTCACTGTAGACAGCTCTGATGTGACACACGTGGGGATTTCTTTCCAGATCTTCTTCTAGCACTACTAGTCTCTTAGCCACACCACTTTCACTGAGAAGCGACCATGAAGCGCGTCCTAGGAGGACCATTTGCTTACTCTTCTGTCTGGACGGGTTTCAGGACAAAATGGGTGGACGGAGGAGCCTGGGTCCCAGGATGGAAAGACAAGGCTATGGTCAGGTCTGCCAGCTGGGGCTGTGGGGTCAGGTTTTGTTTGTGAAATAGACACTTGATAGCTCAGGAGCCCAGAAGACTAGCTCAGCTGTACCTTGTAAAATGGGCTGTCAGCGGCTTGCATGGAAGCAAGAATCCGCTGGGGTGGGCGAGCCCCCGACCCCCACGCCGGTGCAGATGGGATCAGGGTTCTGGGGTGGCCTCCCTGCCCTGGCTTGCCTCTCCCCTTTGTTCTACTCCAGCTTGCTGGTGACTGGTCCTGAGTCACAGGTGGTCATAGAACCGTATTAATTGCTACTCAGGATTTTCAAACTAACAGGCCCACTTTTGACAGTCCCTGCTCCAAAAGGGAAATGAGGTGCTTCGGGCGCCCTGGCCCCTCCTGCCAGAGATGGGCTCGCCCCCGGTGCTAACAACCCCTGTCTGCAGGCAGGACGTGGAGGACTGGGCCTCGCCAGGGGACTCCTCACTCTGCTAGGAGGGGTTGGGAAGGAAAGGGTTACCAGGGAAGGGGCATTCAGTGGGGCAGCTCCCTGGTGCCCCCACCCCAACTCTAGCAAGGGCACAGCAAGGCCCTGGCAAGGCAGTCCAGAGAAACTGTCTTGTTTACAAGCTGAGCACAGTTGCTATTTTAAGATGCTGATGGACGGCAGCGTGAGGCATGAGACCCCAGACGAGGCAGTGTGTGCGCATGCGTGCGTGAGGCGTACCAGAGGGGCAGGCCGCCGGGACTATTCAAAACCAACCCCCTCCCAGGGTGCACCCCAGAGTGGAATTTCTCTTCGACCTCTAGGCTAAGGCCCAACGAATGACAATGGAGATTATGAACGAGGAAAACATTTATTCTGTCTTGGAATCCGTCTACTAGAACCAGGGATCTGTGCGTCTTATCCCCAAGGCTTCTTAATACATTCAGAACAGCCCGGGGGCTATGGGAGCACCCCACACCTAACAGTGGCAGAATATTTACATAAAGCTGGGCGTTTCCGGTCAGGCAAAGCCCCTCCCTGTTGCCAAGGGGTGGGGACAAGGAGAAGGGAGTGCTACCCCATGCCCCTGTGGCAAGCATCCTTCCAGGCCCCCCCTCCTGCCGCCGCCCCCGCTGTCAGGGGACCAGCCCAGAGGCACAAGCACAGGGTAGGGACCCCAGACCCAAGAGCGAGCAGACAGGACAGCAGTGAGCACTGGGCTGCCAACTCCCAGAGCAGGCAGGGGGCTGTGGGCACGACGGCGCCAGGAGGTGGGAAACAAACCTGAGTGAGCAGGAAAGGGGGCCCCTGGCCAGCACCAGCAGCAAAGCAGGTGGAAGGCTCGCAGCCTCATCTTTGGCACAGAACCCCAAGTAACCGCGGCCACCACAGCCTGGACCTGAGCCTGGCTCCTTTGGGCTGGGAAGAAGCTAAGGCACTTGTCAAAACAGCATGTCGGGCAGGTCTAGCTATTTCAGGTGGGGATGGGATCATTAAAAGCAATAACAAAACGCATCTGGCCAAAAATCCTTTTCTAAAAAATGCCCTTGAGGAGTGGTGGGTGAAGCCCTTGGGGCAGAGGCACTTTGGGCTGGGGCCCAGCAGCAGCAGCTGGGGTGGGGGGAGCAGTGGCCCTCCAGGCTGCGCCGAGGCTCCGAAGGGCACAGGACAGGAGGAGGGGCCACAGCTCCAGGAGGCGAGGCTCATGGGAGGAGTCCAGGATAGGGGGGAGGCCCCCCCCAGCACCCTCTCCGCCTCCCTTACCATCCCCCTCTGAGGCTCAGTACACGGGGGGCGGCTGGTAGCCCTCAGTGGTCTCAGCGTTCTGGGTGAAGGGCGGTTGTTGGTAGTTGTCCACAGATGCACCAGGGTAGGAAGCGTAGGCTGTGCTGGGGTCTGGAGTGGGGTCTACATAGTTCTGGATGAAGTCGTCCACTCCGGCCTTGTAGTGCTGGTAGGCCAAGGAGGCCAGCACACCCTGCAGGGAACCCCGAGTTTTGGGTTCGTCAGCCTCCCAGCACCCTTCTCCAAAGATACTGCAACCCTTGTCCGCCCCGGCCCACCTACCCAGGAGAAGATGGAGAAGAAGCTGAAGGTGATGGCTGCCCGGGCCGAGTCGGCCCCCACGAACACATCTTCCTCCTTGGTGGCTGCCCACTGGTTGGTAAGGAAGCAGAAACCAACGAACCACAGGAAGGTCCAGAGAGCTGGGAAGAAGGCCGGGAGGGCAAGGTCAGCTCCATGGAGGAGGCAGCGGCTGTTCGGGGACCCAGGAAGGGCTCCTTGTGGTGGTGGGGGTGCGGGGGAGGCCCTGGGCAAGGATCTCCCGGAAGCCTCCAGGAGTATAAAGGGCACTGATGCAGAAGCCAGGGTGGGGACCGGGGTGCCTGGCTCCAGAGCCCCGTGACCATCACTCAACGCTGGTGGGCTTCGGCAGAGCGACGGAAATCCCTGTGCTGTGCAAACCTGTGTACTCGAGTGGGGCTGCGGACCCCGGGCTGCTCCTGGCCCCTCCCAAGGTTGCCGAGGCCCTGCAATCCCAGAGCCCCAGGGCTTTGGGGAACACTGCCTGCTCCTATTCATCTCCCCAAATAGAATGGGGGCGCTGCTAGCAGGTACCTGAGAAGAGCAGGTCGCTGATAACCAGGTATTTGCGGTCAGTGACGTTGCTGATCTGGGGGAAATAGACGTCAACCACGAGGAAAAAGGCTGAGGCCAGGAAGGCCAGCACCCCGATGGCGATGCCATAGCCACACGCATCCTCGTTGTGGTTGAAAATGCAGTATTTCTGTCTGGAATGGTGGGTATTGCTGTAGCCCTCGCCGAAAATGCACGAGAACACGATCAAGGCAAAGACCTGAGGGGACAGGTGGGGAAGGGCTGAGTGGTCGACAGACAACCCCCGGGGGGGCACACATGATGGGGACCCTGGGCTCTCCCACTGCTGCTGTTCCCCTTTGGGGGGTCAGGCGCCATGGCCCTTTCTGAACTTGGGGCATGAGCTGATAAGCAAGTTCCTCCTGGTGCAGGTTCCCCGCTTCTCTCTACTTCCCTCTCCCAGGCCACCAGCAGATACCAGCAAGGGCATGGCTGGGGATTCCTGGACTGGGGGCCGGTGGGGAATGGACGGGGATCTCCTGAGAGGGGACTGCCCCGCCCCAGCTGCCTGCCAGGAGGAGTTACCGTGGTTCAGAAGGAGATGGGCCACGAAGTCACAGAAACCCAGGCCTGGAGCCTCACCCGCAGATCATCTCCTGCCTGAGTCACCTCTGCCTGAACATGTGGGTGATGGAGAACTCCCCCCGCCCCCCTGCCCTCAGGAAAGGCATGCCAGTGTGCTCTGAGCGGAAGCCCATGCCCCCAGACTCCCACTTCTTGGTGCCCCCTCCAACTCTTTCCTGCTCCAGCCTGGCCTCCCCAGTTGGGCCAGCTGTCTTCCAACAAGGACTACTGGCCTCTTTGGTATCGGGATTGTCCCCTCTGAGGGAACCCCAGTCTGCTTCCTGCCCATAAGTGAGTCCTGTCTGCAGTGCCTGCTGGAGCACCCCAGGCTAGTCTGACTGGCAGGTCCTGTGGACACCATTCTGCACTCAGAACACTGCAGGTCCTAGTTGGGGGTGCAAGGGGGTGTGCCAGCCAGAACTCTGGGAGGGGCTCCAGGCCCTTGGGAACAGCCTCATGTCACCTCATCTCCTCCCTACACTTCAAGGCCACCACCCCATGTCAGCAGATGCAGGGATGCAAGACAGTCTGGACACCTGGCTCTCACTGGGAGGGGCCCAGGCCTCTCCCCTGCCCTGCCCGAACAAGGCCCGTTCAATAGGCTCTGGAGCTAGCAGTCACAAGCCCCACCCCCAGCTGGAGATGAAGCCGGAACTCCGGGATGCTGGGAGCAGTGTGCCAGGCCCCACTCCTGGCACAGCCATCCCAACACACGGGGCATCTGCCCCTTGGAACAGACCCCATGAAGGCATAGCGTGGGCACTTCAGTCCCAGCCCTCTGCCTGCCCATCTCTAACACCTTGTCCAACTTTGGGAGCTGGCTGTCCAAGAGCCTGTGACCCCCCCCCCCAACCTGGTGCTGGAGGGCTCCCCTACCTCACAGGATACATCCTGGGGTCACCTGATCTTGGGTGGGGAAGCAGACCCGCGGCCTGCTCCAGAGTGGAAGGGAGATGCTGTTTCAGGAGGCCATATTGCCCCGGTACCCCACGCGGCTTGGGAAAGCCCCTTCCCGGCTAATTCCCCCAGCACGGAGTCTCAGGACGCCGGCCACCTGTCCTGGAGCTGCCCCAAGCTCCTCCCACCGCCAGCAGGGCGACAGGCCTGCTCCCCGCGGCGCCTCCGGGCCACCCCAACCCGAGCCCGGCCGGTGGGGGGCAGCGAGGACCGGGGGAAGCTGGGGGAAGCTGGGGGAAGCTGGGGCCCGTGGGAGGGAGCCGACCGGGCCCTGGCCATGGAGGGCGGCGGGGCCCGGGCCCTCTCGCCGGCCCCACGCGCGCCACCCGCACCCTCCCGGCCTCGGCCGCCGCCACCTGTCGCGCTCGCAGACTCGCGGGAACCCCTCCCCCGCCCGGGCCTGGCGGCCCAGTCCGGTCCCCGGGCCCGGAGTCCCCGCCGGCTCACCAGACACACGACCCGCGTCACCACCTGCGGCTGCGTCAGGAAGCGCCGCAGGTCGAAGGAGCCGCCCGCCTTGGCCGCGCCGTAGGCCCCGCTCTCCATGTCGCCTTCGCCACTGCCGCCGCCGCGGACCGCCGAGGACTCAGCCACCGCCCCGCCCCGGCACTGCCCGGCCCCCGGGGCGTGGCCAACATGGCCCCAGGGACCGAGGGCAAAGTGCGGCCCGGCGCCAGGGGCGAGTGGAGTGGGCGGGGCCTGCGTTCCGGCAGGGAACAGCCGTCCGGCCCAGCTCGTGACCGGGCCGCGTCCCCCCGCTCCCAGGAAGGCGCCAGAGAGCGCTCAGAAAGAGAGGGAGGCGCGGAGGGCCCGCCCCTCTGCCCCACCCACACTCGCCCCTGCCGTCCCGCCTTCTTCTCCGGGAAGCTCGTCCAATACCGAAGGGGCCAGCCAGTAGTCCTTGCAGGAAGACAGCCTCACCTGCCCAGGACCCAGGCTCACAAGCACCCCCTCTTCTCTCCCCGTTCCATCCCAAACCCCAGGCCACAGCCTGGACGCACTCCCTGACTGGCCCGTCACTCTTTGCGTCTCTCTGGAGCTCAGCCTGGGGTGGCGTCGAGCCCCCCCCCCGCCCCGCCCCCGCCAAATCTTCCCCGGCTGGACCAGGTCCCGAGTATGTATGACTTTAGACTTCCATGCCCGAGATGGTGTGCGGACAGAAACAAAGTTTCCAGGGTGACAGGCAGAGGACAGGGTTTAATCCAATTCTCCTCCCCCAACACACCCCCAAATGGTTTAGAGCTTCTGAACAGAGAAGGCTGAGTGGGAATGGGGTGGGGGGTGCATTCTCTAGGGGCCACCAGCGGACAGGCAGGGAAAAACTCCAGACGCTTTTTGCTAGTTACAGGTGAGGATTAATGAGAGGGTGCTGGCCGGGGGAGGGCTGAGTCCTCTCAGGTGAGCTGGACAGTGACAGGTGAGTAGGTTGGGCCAGAGGACTAGGCCACCAGGAGATGGGAGTGCCACTCCTGGGAAGAGGGGAACAGCTGTGGGGGCGGTGGGTTGGTGCAGCTGGGACTTTTCACAATGTACCCCACTTTCTCCAGACCTGCATGGATGGTGACAAGCAGCTGAGGGGTGAGGACAGGGGCCACACAGAGCCCCCCCTTCCTATGGACTTCCCCTTCCATCACAGCCCACCCCATCCTAAAATCCTCAGCCTAACACCATGTGCGTTCATGGAAGAGCACCAGGCTCCAAGAATCCGGGCTGGCAGGTTTTTCTTCATGCAAATGGTGGGTCCTTTCTGTAGTGGACAAAGACCAGGGCCCTCCTGAGAGGACTCTGCCAAGCCTGCCTCTTCTGGTCACAGCCTTGATGACAAAGGAGTTAAGATTCCGGGTTAGGCAAATACACATCTCAGCCACCCCCTCCCAAGGCCTCTGGGAGTTTTAGGGTGCCAAGTGCATCAGTGCCCTGGGCAGCAGAAGGGCTGTAAGGCTTAGTCACCCCACTAAATGAAGGGGGAGGGAACTGAATCACCAAGAGGACAAGCGCTGGCCCCTGGTCACATGGCAAGTGAGAGCCTGGCCTCTATATCCCATTTTATAGAAGGGAACACGGAGGCTCAGAGAGGTGACACGGCTCTCCCATGAGTCTGCCTCTGGAAGGGACAGAGACGGGAGGGGGGACCCAGAGGTGAGACAAGAGGAGTACCAAGGACAGACAATGGCCACTGAGAAGCCTGGCCAGGGAGGGAGGAAGGCAACCAGGAGATGGCAGTATCCTAGAGGCCCAGGGAGGTGAGAAGTTCACGGGGCACAGGTGACGGCTGCCAAAGGCTAGGCAGGTGGAGCACACAGAGGCCTGCGGGGCCAGGGGATGGACGACACAAAGGCCCTGGTCACTTTACAAGTCAGTGGAGTGAGAGCCTTGGAGAGGGGACCCTAGGAGGTCTGGCCCTGCCTCTTGTCACCAGCCAGGAAGCACCGGCCTATGTGGTTGCCATGGAGAGCAGAAGCCCCTGATCCACGCTGGTCCCCGGGGGGCATCATCCCTACTCCTGGCGTCCCTCTCCCTCCTCTGACCCCTCAGGAAGACGGGCGAATATGCCCCATCCAGAGGCCAGGGGACTCCATCACAGGGCTGCTGGGAGTGTTGGTCAGGGTCAGATAAAGCCAGGCTGTGCAAGCCCTCAGCAGGCACTTGGCACCCAGTAGGCCCTTCATAAACTTTTGCAAGTCATGCATGATCCATGTGGCCCTTTGTTTGCCCTGGAGGCAGCCCTGTCCTACAAACCCACCACCCGCTGCCTCCAGCCGGGCTCCTGGTGGCCCATATAGGCCACCCACCATCCTCACTGTCCCCTACATCCCGCACCCATCTCCTACCTGGTCCACAAGGCCCGGCCCAGTAACCAAGAGGTGACAGCGGCAATGGAGGTGAGGCTGCCAGCCAGCGTCACGATGGCCCCCTGGGGCGGCTGTCCTGCGAGGGAGGGCGGTGGTTGAGCTGGCCCCCCTTCTCAGCACCCTTCCCTGCTCTTGGCCAAGGCGAGGCGGAGCTCTTCCACCTCCCACTGCTGCCCGTCTGGGAACCAAGGGGCCCTCTCACCGGGGGGCACCAGCTTGAAGGGGCTGGACTGGACACTGAGGTCATTTTCAGCCTGGCACTGGAGCCAGGTGGACGTGTTGGGAAGGGCGAAGGAGAAGTCGGCAGGCTGCCCATAGCTCGGTCTCTGCTGCATGTGGACGGACCCGTCCTTCCCCACCAGGCGGTAGGTGATGGGTGGGCTGCCTGAGGACACCCGGCAGGAAATCTCTACCCTGGGGCCGGATCCTCTGTCCAGCACGGTGAAGGTAGCCTGCAGCTGGGACACGGGCTCTGGTAGGGTGGAAGAGGTTAGCACAGGCGTGGCTCGGTGACTTTCACACCCTCTCCCAAGCAAATTCCCTTGTTATAAAATGCCTACTGAGCCTGGAGGCCTAACTGTTATTGCTCCCGCCTCCAAGCAGCCTTCCGGATTACCCCCTCCGTCTTGTGTCTGAGCTTCTATTCTACTTGCAGTGTGTACTACACAATTTCACATTTGGTATATTCTGGGTTGTCAGACTTACCAACTAAAAATACATACAGGATGCCCAGTTAAATTTTAATTTCAGGTAAATAATGACTATGTCCTGTGCAAAATTTATCTGGCAACCCTGTTTATATATTCTTTCAGTCTTGGCTCTTTTACTGGAATAGTTCCTTCAGAATAAGAACTGTCACTTATAAGATTCTAGATTCTAGAATCCCCCGGGGCCTTCAGCCTAATGCTGTAAATAGCCTTACGGATGAGTAACAACCACCGCCCCTTGTGCCAAACTGACCACCTACTAGAAGCTTCCGCTGAATCCTTCCCGCCCTCCAGGGGTAGGAACTATTATTATTTTTGTTTTGCAGATGAAGCAACCAGGCCCACAGAGGTTGAGTGACTTGCCCAAGACCCACAGCCTCTAAGTGTCGAGACTTGAACCCTGACCATAGGGCTCCGGACCCCAGGCCCTCCTTCACTAGGCTGGCTCCTCTCAGGGGCGGAGTCAGGGGGCCAGGGGCCCACCACTGGCCTGGGCAACATCCTCCAGCTCCCCTCCCCCCAACCACACCCCGTGCCTCCCACCAGGAAGGACACCTGAGTTAAGATCAGAGAAGAAGTGGGAAGAAGACAGGTTTTGGGGCTGGGGCGACATTCTTAATCACCAAGGCTTTATATAGGCCAGGAACCACAAACCCCACCCTCCAGTTGTAGTGAAGATTCAACTAGATAAAGCACAAAAAATGCCTACTTTATCAGAATGAGGCCAGAGCTCAACTGATGGGACCCAGGCCCGGGTCACTTCTGTCCACCCCAAAGGCCCCTGCCAGGAGATGGTGCCCTGGATCCCAGCCAGGAGCTACACTGTTCTGGGTGCAGGCCTAAGGGACCCAGAGTGGCCTTGGAGGTGAGCAACCTGTCCTGTCCCCAGCCTCCTGCCTTCTAGCCCAGACCCTGCCCCACCTCCAGCCCCCAGGGTGCACTCACTGGTCCACAGCTCCCAGTACATCTGCAGCTTGGTGCTGGCTGAATGCTCGCCCCAGGGGGAGACCGCCTTGCAGGAGTAAGTGAGCAGGTCTGGCCTGGACTTGAGCGTGATGTTGATGCTGAAGGAGGCCAGGTCTCTGGTCTTCACCACCTTCTTGGCGACCTCGGTGCCCTGACTCCCCCAGAGGGAGTAGGTGATGGGCGGGGGTGCCTGGGGTGAGTGGCACGTTATGGCCACCCTGCGGCCTCTGGGGAAAACCTCCAGGACTTTGTAGGCAATGAAGGTCTCAGGGGTGACTTCTGGCAGGTGAAAGGGTCCAAGGGGGAAGAAGGAAACCAATATTGATCAAGCACCTTAAGAAAATGCCGGTTTTGCAGTTCCTCAAAAAGTTAAAAAATTATCATATGACCTAGCAAATCCCACTTCTAGATCTCTACCAAAAGAGTGGAAAACAGGGACTGTAATGGCTACGTGTGCGCCCAGGCTCACAGCAGCACTATTCACGCTAGCCGGCAGGTGGAAGGAAGTAGCCCACGCGTCCGTCGTGGATGAATGGGTAAGTCAACCCTGGCCTGGCCACATGATGGAATAGTCCTCACCCATAAAAAGCAATGAAGTTCTGATCCATGCTTAGCACGGACGAGCCTTAGAAACATCACGTCGAGGGAGGTAAGTCAGACACAGAAGGTGAACTATCTTTGATTCCATTCACATGAAACGTCCCGAATAGGAAAATCCCGAAACAGAAAGCAGATTGCAAGTTGACAGGAGCTGGGGGAGGGGCAGATGGGGAGTGACTGCTTGTGGGTCGGGGCTTTCCTTTTGGGGTGATGAAAGGTTTTGGAACTAGATAGGGTGATGGTTGCACAACACTGTGAATGCACTAAACGCTACTGAATCGTCACTTTAAAATGGTTAATTTTGTGTTACGTGAATTTCACCCCAATTTTGAAAAGGAAGGAAGGAAGGCAAGAAGGAAGGCAGGAAGGGAGGCAGGACTCCTGGATAAAAGTCTATCTCTGGGGTTTAGATTCTTTTTGCCCAGAATATTTTCCTACAAAAATAAAATGAAATTAGGATATGAGTAGGAAGCACGGAGAAGTTTGGGACACAGGTCAGGAGAGCCGACACTGAATTCAACTTCTAGATTCAATGAGCTGGTCGACTGTAAGTGGCAGGGGAGAGGTGCTGGAGTCCTTCTTGCACATCACCATAGGCAGGAAGGTGGCCCAAGGCAGGAGACCAGAAATCTACTGTTTGTTGGCTGAACGACTCCCTCCCACAAGAAGGCAGTTACCTGGTTGCATGCTGAACTGGTATCAGAGGCCTCCTCTCAGTGCCAGACCCAGCAGGGGACCTGGGATGCAGGGGAGCTGGCCAGGCCCCGGAGAGGTCAACATCTGGTTTAAAGGGACAGTCGGAAGGAGAGGGTAGAGGGTAGGACCCAGATCAACAGGGTTGAGCTGAGCCAGAGAGAAAGAGGCCACTTGGGAAAGCAGGATTTCCAGAGAGCAGGGAGGCCCTCAAAGGAGACTGGATGCTTCCAGCACCTGGGGGATGCAGGACCAGATGCTGGAGCACCTGGGGGACGCAGGGCCGGACCCACTCTCCAGCAGCACCCTGCATTCTTCCATCAACACTGCCTCTCTGCTTGGAAGTAACTAACTGCTCTGTTTTGCAGGTGGATCCTGGAGTTGATTTGATGCAGAAGACGTTTCTAAGAGCTTCTCTTGCAGCCCATACTGAATTCTTCCAGACAGAGGTTGGGTGGGAACAAAGCTGCCCCTCAACGGGGGTTTGGAAGGGAGGCTGCATTGTGGGCAACATTCTGTGCCTGTTCAAGGAGAGTGTGTGGGGGCAGCGCTTGGGGGGCGTAGAGGAAAGGGTTGATGAAATCGAAATACCATGTGCCTCATGCATCACCCTTGCCCTGCTGGGTGGGCACACTGGCTCTGGAAACCACACTGCCATCAGAAAACTGCTCACGGAGCAGAGAACTGGAAACAACTAGAAAGTGCTTCCTTCAGAGACATTTCCTAGGAATCCTAAAGGTTCTGACCACTAAGCATATTTCTTTCTAGACCAGTGGTTCTTGGCCAGGGGTGGTTTTGGTTTTGCTTCCAAGGGACCTTTGTGTCTGGAAGCATTTTTGGTTGCCATGAATGGGGGGTGCTCCTGGTATCTAGTAGGTAGAGGCCAGGGATGTCACTAAAATATCCAATAACGCACAGGACAGCCCCATAACGGAATCGTCCAGTTCCGATGTCAAAAGTGTCGAGGTTGAGAAACCATGGTCTTGACAACCACCAGCAGCCTTCCAGAATCAGATTTCTAGCCCTGCCCAGGGCTGCACACACACCAACAAATGTTTTCTCATCTGTTCCTCTTTCTCAACGGCATGAGAACCCCCATAGTTTAGTACTTTTTTTTTTTTTTTCCCAAACAGGCTTTCACACCAAGTCTTGGATTTGAAGTAAATAAAGCCCTACGGAGCGTCCAGTGTGGTCTCTGGGGCGCTATTTTGCACACTGCCAACAGTAATTTTGTGGGTGCAACCTGGGGCCAAAGGGCCAGCTCCTCACTGCCCAGATGCTCTTGGGGCCCGAATCTCCCTCCACAGGGGAAATGGGGGCTCAGGGTGTTCAGTGTGATGACATTTTTCTTCACTCCCTTCATGGAGGGAAATGACTAATAAAAGTTAAAAGAAAAAGCTGGGTTGCTTTGGTTTCCATTTTGAGGGCCAATAATAGAAGCTTGATTTACATAAACTCACAGACCAGAGTCACTTCTGACTGCACTAGGCCGCAGGGCATTCACTTTATATTCTAACAAGACTGGTGTGGTCTTTGTTGATCGTTTAGTTTATGCATTTAACCCAGCAATAATGAGAGGGCTGGCATTCAATTAAAAATTCATCATGTGCATTAGAGCATTGGAGGATGGGACGGCACACTCAGTGTGATGAAGAGACAGGCCCACGCTCAGACCGGAAGCTGAGCCAAGCTGGGCTGGGCTGAGTGGGTGGCCACGCAGAGCCTCCTTCTGTTGCTAAGGAGAGAAGGAAGCCCCTTGGGGTGAATGCGGGGACCTCGGAGCTGCCGCCCCAAGGCTCAGAGGCCCTTCAGGATCGCCCCCGCCTGTCTCCAGGCTTGTGTCTGTGATAACTAGAGGCTTAGAGATCTGAGTCCCAACCCTAGAGATCCAATGTATTAGACCTAAGGGGGGGTGGGCGTTGTTCCGGGATCTGATTTTGAACAAGCAGCCCACGTGTTGAGGGTTGAATTATGTCTTCCAAAAAAGATATGGTCAAGCCCTATCGCCCGGGTCCTGTGAATGGGGCCTTATTTGGAAATAGGGTCTTTACAGATGCACTCTGGGGATCCGTGGTGGATTAGCGTGGCCCTACTAAGAGGAGAGACAGAGACGCACACGCACGCAGGGAGAGGCCACATGAAGAGGCAGGCAGAGGTTGGAGGGATGCTGTCACCAGCCATGAACTCCAAGGACTGCCAGGAGCCACCGGAAGCCAGGAGAGAGGAGACCTGGGTCAGCTTCTCCCTGCCGACACCCCCATCTCGGACCTCTAGCCTCCAAAACTAGGAGAGAATGACTTGTTGTTATTGTAAACCCCCCAGTGTGTGGTAATTCCTTACGGCAGTCCCAGGAAGTTACGACAGCACCCCCTCCAAGGGGTTCTTCTGAACATCGCTGAGAAACCACACAGGTTTTAGGAATACATGGAGGACAATCCGTCAAGGTTCCTTTGCTCGCTCTCAGGGGGACGATCTAGTTTGAAACCGTGCTTCATCCAGATATCCCCCCTCTGAGTGAGAACACTCTTGTGCGTTCATGGCAGCCCCACAGGATGCCCCAGGCCCCCAGGTCATCCTCCCTGCCCTGCCCCACCTCTTAGGAGGCTCTGCACATCCACCATCACCCCACCACCTCCCCAACCTTTCCGACCCTGGCATCCTCCCGTGGAGCCCTCAGGAACGTAGGCTCAGTTGGCACTCCGACACCTCACCGACGCCTATGGGAACCAGCCTCCCCCGCACCCAGGGCAGGCCCTACCCTGCGGTTGTCTCAGATGATAGGGTCCCCACAGCCTCCCCAGCACTGACCTGGGAGGACAGGGGTGGATATCCTCTTGGCATTTCTGGACTATTCTCCCTCCTCCCTCCCTAAACACCAGGCTTGAACCTCATGTCTTCAGATGTATTCTACCCTGCTCCCCCGGGGTTAGTTACCTAGAAACACGCATCATTCCTTGAAGATTCCTGCCCCCCGTTCCTACCACTCTCAATACCACACCGGCCACAATGCCTGGGGATTTCGAAATACATAGAGATCGTCTTTCCAACACCCTGGCCCTTCAGTTCCTCAACTTCCCATCTCTTGTGCCCCACTTCTTGCCCCCACGGGAGTGTTTAGCTGCATAATATTCCATGGTAAGGCTGCACTTTATTTGGTCACTCCTTTGAGTTGCTCAGGCCAAAAACTTTGGGATCATCTTCTCTGGCTCTGTCTTTCCCGTCCCATCCTCCCAGCACACGCTGCTGGCCTGACCTTCAGGATATATCTTGATCACTTCTCCCGGGGGCTCTGGCTATCACCCAATCTCTCCTCTGGATCCCAGGAACAGCCCGATGGCTCCCTGGGATTCTACCCATGGTCCCCATCCTCCGTCTCTTCTCAACACAGCAGCCTTGAAGGGCAAACCAGACCTTGGCTTCCATGAAAACCCCACCCCCTGTAGCGACGTCCACCAAGCACTCCCTACTCAACCCTCCTCCCCATCGAGCTCTCCCCTCCCCACTGCTTCCTGCAGTCAGCATTCAGGCCTCCCAGGCTTTACTGGCTCCTTTGTGTCCCTGCTTGGGTGTCCCCTTCTCAGTGACAATCTCCCAACACATGCTGACCCTCCCCATCCCCCTGTGTTCCCTTCCATTCCTCCCTGCTTGCTTCTCTCTAGGACTTACTGGGTTCCAACACACTGTGGAAGGCGCTTATTGTCCCTATCATCTGTCATCTGTCTCCCCACCCCCGTAGCCCCGCCGGAATGTAAGCTATGGGAAGGTGGGGATCTTTGTTTTTTTCTGCACCCTGTGGATCCATCTTGGGGCCTAGAACAGTGCCAGGCACCAAACAGGTGCTCCTACAGTCTCTGTTGAACGAATGAATGATTTCCCAGCTGGCCTCTCCGGAGTTTAGTTAGCAAGGCTTGTTGGGCAAGAGTCTGAGCAGAAGTCAGGGGCGGAGGGGGGCCCACCAGCCCTGGCCAGGTGCTTCTCGAAACGGGAACGCAAATGTCTGCCGCCTCCAGCCGCTCTCTTTTTAGCAGAAACACCAGGACTGACGTGTTTGTTTTTAAAGCAAATGAGGAAATGATAATTTTGCTTGTGCCGCATTCAAGCGAGACCCACCCTTCAGTGGAATAGAGACAGATGCCAGCTCTGTGACCCGGTGGCCCCGGCGAGGTGATGGTGGAGACAAGTCAGGGGGGAACACCACCCCGCAGCCTGGTGGAGAGGAGGAGGTAACCCACCACCCTGACCTTAAGGGTCACAGGGCTAGAAATGGGGGTGGGGCTGTGGTAGGGGGAGAGCTGGAGAAGGCGGGGAGGAGGCAGGCATGGAGGAGGGACCAGGAGCGTCCCCTCCCCCTGGCTCTGTACCACCCCCTGGTGGAGAAGGGGCCCCGCGCCCTCCAGCTGCCTCTGAGAGTAAGCCAGACTCCGTTTGCAGGACCTCTGGGGAAGCCTGGACTTCCTCGGCCCCAGTGCCCCGCCGGGTGCCCCCAGCCCTCACTGGAATCACACCCACCCGGCAGATCTGCTCCAGATTGGGCACCCGGGGTAGATTGACTGGGATGTACCTGCCCAGGGACACGCTCTCGGCTCCCCTTCCTCCCCCCTCCGGAGCCCAGCTGGAAGCCAGCTCTCTCCTTGCCCCAAGTCCCCTGGAGGTCCCCCACTGGCCTGCCCTCCTGCTCCTCTCCATGCCCTCAAGGGCCCTGCAGGGGTTGAGGCCAAGTTCCAGAATTGTCCATCTGTCCACCACCAGACACCCGCACACCATCAGCAACCTCCGCCAGCCACGGCACCCACCACGGCACTCACCACGGCACCCGCCGTCTCCCTCAAGCGTGCTGGGCTACTCACCTACCTCCTGCTGCGCGGAGAAGCCGCTGGTGCCTGGAAGCAGGGGAGGGTGTGAAGGGAGTAAGCAGGGAGCCCAGGGTGGAGGGGAGGCTGGAGACCACCCAGAGAGCCTCCTGCCAAGGACAGAAGGGAGACCTAGGACTCAAC